CTGACTAAATTATTCAAACAACTGAACCTTGAGCTTCGAGAAGGCAGCTCAGTGCAGTCCTGTATTTAGTTTCAGATGGTTGAGTGGCACTTGATGGATGAGGCAAGAATAGCAAGCAGATAAAATTCTACGGTGTCAGTTCAGCAGTCCTGTACAAGATTGACTTCGGGCCATTTCATTCATGTGTTCTTTGACCTTCTTTTGGTGGCAAGTGTCAGAAAATGTAACCCATCTTAGCAGAGAGAAAGGGGATGTATTGACTCCATCACTGTGAAGTCCAAAGACCAATTCAACATGTGCATTAGGTCCAGAAACTCAGATGATTATCTCATGGCTGATTTTCTCTTTACATGTCTTAGATCTCTATTCCTCTGTGTATTAGTTACATTCTCAGTCAGATGACAGGAAAAATGGCGGTGGACAGACATAAACTACATTCTAGAAAAGGTGTTTTAAAGGTAGATTGCTACCCAGCCTGTGTGGTGCAGTGTTTGAACATAGACCAGGAGGTCACGGTTCGATTCCTGGTCAGGCCATATGCCCAGGTTGCAAGCTTAATCCCCAGTGTGGGGTGTGGAGGAGGCAGCCAATCAATGATACTCTCTTATCATTGATGTTTCTATCTCTCCCTCACCCTCTCTGAAATAAATTAAAAAATATATTTATAAAAAAGGAAGATTGCTCCCCTCTTTCTTAATATTCACATATCAAATCTTAAGGAAGACTGTGATTGGCTCTGTTTGGGTCATGAGTCAATCCTTGAACCAATCACTGTAGCTTTGGAAATGAACTAACTACTCTAATTGGCCAGTTTAGGCCATACACCCACACTTGGTTGGGGATGATGGGACAGCAGGATTGGCACCTCTCCAGAGCCACAGGGAGAGGGTGAGTAATGGTTCTTCAAAGAAAGAAATACTAAAAAAACCCCCACAAAAAACAAAACCCAAAATAAAAACAAAAATAAACAAACAGCAATAACAACAACAACAACCACAACAACCCCCCCCCCAAAAAAAAAAATACTGAGGAGAACATACATCCACCACACTCCTCCTTTCCTTGGCCCAGCATTTTGACCAGAGAATGGACTATCTCTTCACCTTCCCAAGACTTACTGTGTTAGGAGATTAAAGATACTGGGCTTTCCTCAGCGATGGCTGCATTTCTATGGGTGCTGACTTACTACTATACCTTTAGACATGTTGCCTGTTGTTTAATAAAATTCTCATTGGTGGTTATTGAAAGAGATGTCCTCTCATTCCCAACTTACATATTTTCTTCTCAAATAGTTCAGCCATATATATGTTAAGCTTTAAACTAGACACCCCCATCCCCCACCCCCCAAATCACTACCATGCCACTTCTCTTCTCATGTTGCCTGGCTTTGATTTTTTTTTTTTTCAAGAGGCTCATTTACCCTGATCTCTCCTGGTAGGTGTTTGATCGAGCAAGGGAAGAGCAGGAGGAAAAAAACCATTGTAAACAGGTCTGTGCCATTTGCAGGAAATGTAAAAGCTAGCCTCAACGTTTTGTTGGCTCTTATGATACCATCTGCCTTTCACCTATGAATTCTCTGAAGTATTATTATTTTAAAGTTAGCAAATCAAAGCAAACGTTTTAACTCAGTGGAACACCAAGGACACCTGGAAGACTGATAACGACATTGGCTTTATCTGTATCAGAGGCTGTAAAATCAGATGCCCTTAGGGGCTAGGCAGGCCATGGAAATGTCCTGGCAGGCCTGGTGGAGACTGGGTCAAACTGGAGGTCAATTTCCATCTCAAGAGAGCAGCTTCCAGTGGGCTGTAGCTCATTGTTGCCATCAGCTAGTATGTGCTGTGTCAGATATTAATTGTTCACGAATACATGGTTCCCTTATACATGGTTCCCTTCTCCTGCATGGAACACCAGAGGACTGTCTTTGCCTCTTTGAAATGAAGGATAGCCATGTGACTTGCTTTGGCCAATGAAATGTAAGCTAAAGTGACATGTATCACTCCTGGAGGCAACATTTAACTGCTGGTGCCTGGCCCTCTGTACTTCTCCCTGTTTCTCCTCCATTGTGACCATGTCTACATAGGGTGGTATGAAGGTGCAATACTGAGCCATCATCTGTAGGGCAGCCATCCTGGGCATCAATCACTTTGATCCAAGGTTGTCTCATGTTAAGCCCATGAGTTTTGAGGACACTTGCAACTTCAGCATAACCTATCCTAACTTGACTATGGCATGTTGCCTGACCGATTGTTTTCAAGAGAAATTAGAAATTTAGATTTCTGTGAGAAATCTTTGGAAAAAAAAAAATATATATATATATATATATATATATATATATATATATATATATATATATATATGAATTTAAGGTTGAACTGCCAATGCCAAATTCAGCCTGCCAACTACTAGTCTGCAGTTTTGGGTCTGCTCAGTTTGAGTAGAGAAGGGATCAATTAATGAATGATTTTTCTCTGTGCAGCAATCCTACCTAGACTGCTACAGTCTTTATAGTCGATGTCACATACTAGCTCTTAGTTACTCCTTGTCTTGCTCTTCATTAGTGTTCAGGCCATTCTTTCTAATGAGGCAAGAGGTGGGGACCAGTGAGGGATCATGTCTTAAACTTACGTACCTCACAGGCACATAATAGCGCTCTAAAAAATTAGTATAAAGACTGGTTAATTACTCAGAACTATCATTTCCTCCTTTGATAATGGAGGAACACACCTCTAGGGAATTAATTATTTTATCTTGCCGGTGCATATTTTCCTGTTTGCAAAGAGCTTGGGATTCATCAATGTCTATTAAGCTTCAAAATGTAATTGTCGCCAGCTGGTTTGGCTCAGTAGGTAGAATGTTGGCCTGCGGAAGGAAGGGTCCCGTTTTTTATTCTGGTCAAGGGTATGTACCTGGGTTGCAGGCTCCTCCCCAGCCCAGGCCCTGATTGGGGTGCTTGCAAGAGGCAACCAATAGATGTGTCTCTCTAACATCAATGTTTCTGTCTTTCCCTCTCTCTCCTCTACTCTCTCGAAATATCAATGGAAAAATATCTTTGGGTGAGGATAAAAAAAATAATAAAGTTTCAACTTAAAAAAAAATGTAATTGTCTAAATAAGTCAGAAATGCAAAGTCCAATTTATTAACCAGGTCTTCTCTAGTTTGCAAGTAATAGGAAAGCTAAATTCACATTGCCTTAGGTAAGATCTAGTTTACTGGTTCCTAGAACTAAAACCTCCAGAGGTGGGGAGAGTTCAGGCACAGGTTCAGGAGCTCAGACAATGCTATCTGTACTGGAGCCCTCTTTCCCTCATTGCTTGGCTCTCCTCTTCTTTGCATGAGCGTCAGCCTCAGTGGACTCCCTCCATGTGGTAGCTTCTGGCAATTTCAAGTCTAGTTTCTGGTTGCTTCTCTTCCTGGCAGATCCACAAAATTCCTAGTCTCCCTGGACTAATTTGGGATACTTGGCAATCTCTGACCAGACCACTGGCCAGGGCTGGGTGTATTAATCAGGGCTTTTCTAGTTGCAAAGGGATAGGAAACCTAAGTTCAAACAGCCCCAGGCTGGGTCACTTGTCCATCCCTATGAGCCAGTGGTAGAGGAGCTCCATCCAAGCAAAGCAGGGAGACGTAGGCCAATGTCTCCATAAATGGGCCCACTTATGGCCTCGCCCTCCAGCCACTTCCAGGGGCAATGGCCATGGAGAGGGGCCGGGTGGGGGCAATGTGGTAGAAGCTATGTTTATATAGCGTTTATATTCCTTAACAGGAATCAAAACTGAAAACCATCCGCACCAAATAATGGAGGAGACAGGATGGATAAAACAGGGAAATGGAGGGGGCTAGTGACCCCCAAGTCACCCCTTGGTGCCATCCCTGTAGCATATTTAATTTGTGGGGGAAGCAAGGGCCTAGGCGGACTACCAGTGGCCCAGCTACATGCAAAACAATCCCTGGAAAGGACTTGCTCTAACCACATAGACTAATTATTAGTCCCCACACAAAGATCAGGTCAGTATTTCCAAAGTCCTAGACAAAGATGCATAAGGGAACACTGTCCCTATTCAGTGTTTTCTTCCATATAAATGTCCAGACTTCCGTCTCATGGGGGAAACATCATAAGGCAGTTTCATAGGACCCAGCTTCCATCTTTGTGCAGCAGCAGAGGGGTAGTTGGCCTTTCAGATGCCGAGAGCCATGTTCGTCCACAAAACTATCACACGACTACTCATTTTGCATGGTAGATTCTTTCAGGGCCTTTCTTTCTTTTTTTAAAAGAAATTTATTTTTTAAAATATATTTTATTGACTTTTTTACAAAGAGAAGGGAGAGGGATAGAGAGTTAGAAACATCGATGACCAGCCTGCAACAAGATACAGGCCGCTGACAGGAATCAAACCCGGGACCCTTTAGTCCACAGCCCAACGCTCTATCCACTGAGTCAAACTGGTCAGGGCCCTTACTTTCTTTTACTTACTAACTTCAATGCTTTGAGTGAAGGTGAAAACGGCTAGGCAATGTCATGGGGATGTGATCTGCCTTCCCAGTCTTCTCCCCCCCCCCCCCCCCCGAAGGATTTCCCTGCATGGGGAAGAGAAGGAAAAGAACGCCTCCCTGTACTTGCATTGCAGAGACATGCTCACTTGGTTTTGCTTACTGCTCCCATCTGTCTCAAGCACTGTTGTTTCTTTCACTCTGAACATCTGCGCTCCAAGAAGGCATGAACTTTTTCTTTCACTTCCTTTCTTCTTCGGGTGATGACCTGACCTCACTCTTTTGAGAAGGAGGCCGGCAGTCACTGCGTATAAACAGTCACCCCTATCTGGCTTCCACAGAAAGGTGGGGGTTGGCGGAACCCCCAGGAGGTAGGAGATGCTAACCAAGGTGCCAAGGTCTCAGGTGCCACACGTGTGCTTGAGGTCTCCAGGCTTTATACCCTGGAGGGCATCATGGGACACACATGTCCTCTGGAGACTCCCTGAACCGTCTACCACTCTGGGAAGATGCAAGGTGGGCGTCGAGTTGGCCATGGAAGTTGTCATGGGGAAGAAGGCCGTTTGCAGAGGGAGGAGGGCTGGGTGTGCTCTCTGCCCCTGAGAGGAAAGGAGAAGCTGATGGGACAAAAAGCCCAGGTCAAGCAGCGCTGGCCACCCAGAAAGAGAAAGCAGCGGAGGGCAGGCCTCCTGCAGCCAACTACCGCGGGCTTAGGGCACGTATGGTGGCCAGGTGGGCTGGTGGGTGGGGTCGAGGCGCCCACATGCCTTCATCTCCTGCTCATCCTGCTCCCTGGGAAGAGAAAGCCGGCTTGCGAGATCACTTCCTCCCTCAGTCGCGAAGCGTCCGAGGATGAGAATGTGCTGAAGAAATGCTCTCTCTCGGGCTGGCCAAGAGCGCTGAGGATCCAGGAAGATGGTTCACCCGGACTGCGAACGCTTCAGGGGGCTTTCGGCTGGTCCTGCTGCCGCCGCCGCCTCCTTTCTCCGTCTTGGGTCCCGGGTGGCCCCCGGCGCTGCGCGCGGGGCGGGCGGGGGGGATGCTCTTACATAACCGCCCGCCGCGTCCCGCTTCCTCGCGCGCTCCGGAGCCGCGGGGAGGGAGCGCCCGGGACGGCGATGGAGCCGCAGCCGGTGCCGCGGGGCCGAGGCCGCCCCGGCGGGGAGAGCGGCCCGAGCAGCCGCGGGAGGAGGGCGCGCGAGGCGGCGGCGGGGGAGGTGAAGGTCAGTGGGTGTGAAGCGCCGGATCCACACCCCCTCCTCCCTCCCCTGTCCCCTCCTTCCCTTCCTCTCCGTCCCCCTCTGACGTCTGGAGCTGGCAGCTCGGCGGGTTCCGCATTCCCGACCCCTCCCCGCCGCCCCGGGGCCGCTATATAGCCGGGGCTGATGCAACCCGTCCCGCCGCCCGCCACAGCCCGCGGGAGGGACGCTCGGCGGCCGCGACGGGAGGCGCTGGCGGCGGCGGACGCTGCAGCGGCGGCGGCGGCGGGGCTGGCGCCGCGGCGGCTCCCGGGCCGGGACGGGCCTGGGCACCGGGCGGAGCTCGGCGGCCGGGCGGCAGCGGCGCTGAGCGGGCACGGCGCCTGCAGCCGGGCCCCGGCCCCGGGGACGCCGCCTCCGCCCGCGGCTTCTGCACGGTGGGTGCGCGCGCGAGCGCGGGGGGCGCCCGGGCCGGCGGGGCGGGCGGGTGGGGCGCGCCGGGCACCTGGGACGCCCGCCCCCGCGCGGGCGGAGCGCGCCGAGCTCCGGAACCCGGCGCCCCGCGCGCTTGGAGGCTCCCGCAGCCCCGGCGGAGGTCGCTGCAGCCCGGGCCGTTCCCGAGAAGCCGCCTGGAAGCCGTGGACGTCCCCTTTGGTTCCCGCCCCGGGACGGGAGGCTCAGTCCGCTCCCAGGCAGCCGGGCTCTCTCTCCGCCTCCCTCCAGCGCCCTTCTCCCCCGTGCGTTTGCCCACAGGCGCTCGCCTCGGGCGGCCGGCGGGGAAGGCGGGTGAGTGGGGAGAGCACTGCCTGGGGGAGACGGGCCTAGGGGTGCAGATGGGAGGGGGAAAGGCCAGGGACTTGCAGGGTTCTTGAGGGGGGGGGAGCTGCGGGGAGAGGATGACAGGGACCGGCTGGCAAGTGTGCCGCCCCCACCCCCTGGGAGGGTGGAAGCGTGCCTCCCTGAGGACTGGAGAAGGCCCGGGTCTCTCTCCATCCAATGAAGAGTGCTTCTCTGGGGGCATTGCTCCCGGGTCCTGGGATGGGAGGAGGCTTAGGGGGCGGCCCGGGTCCCCTCTGCGCTCCCTGGGAGGGCTCCTCAGCCAGGTTACATAAGGAGGCAAGCCCGCTCCCTCTCGGGAACCAGCCCCTTCTCTCCTGACCAGCCCGGTGTAGAAGGCTCTCTGAGCTCCTCCCCCCTAAAGGAGGCTGAGGGATTGGGTTTAAAGGTCAGGACCCCAGACCCTAGGAGGCCCGGGAACGGGGGAAGGTCTTGGTTCTTCTGCTGGGATGGATGGGCCATGCATGCGGCTGGAAATGCAAAGGCCGGTGGAAGGAAATTAACTCACCCTTTGGGCCAGCTCCACTTGCAAGGTTGCCTGATCCTGGCCCGGTGTGCAGTCCTCCCTGCTGGCATCGAGGGCATTGGGCATGGGGCTGCGTCCTGACCACATGTGCTTAATGCAGATGAACTCAGGCCTGTCACTCAAAAAAGGGCGTGCAGACCCAGGGTGCCTACAGCCAAGTGGGTGGGCTCTCCTCAGGTTTGGGAGCATCGGAGATAGAAGCTTTGAGCCACGACCGGTGCCTGCTTGGTTCTGTAAGGCCTTGCTACGAATTGTGTTCACATATCATCTCCCCAATCTCCCATTCCTAAAGGTTTTTTTTTTTTTTTTTTTTTTTAAACACACCTCCCCTTGCTTTCATCTTTCCAGCAAATCTGGCTGCAGCTTGGATGGCTGCCTGATCTTCCTCTGCAGGTTTCTAGGGGAGAGTTTAGCTCGGTATCAGGTGTGAGAGTGGCTCTGATTAACCCGAGGACCTGGGAAGAGAAGCAAGGTCTATTCTCGTGCCTCTGGCTGGCTAAGGTTTTGCCTTGTTTAAAACCGGGAGGACGGATTTCTCAAAGGCTCTTCTGTTCCCCTTCTACGTTGGCTTTGGTTCAGAGCTGCAGGCAGCTCCAGAATCTTCCTGAAGAGCCGGGTGCCCTGAGCTTTGAAAGGCTGCTGGAAGGCATGGGCGTGGAGGCCTCTGACTTTTCTCCTGCGTTGTTTGCAGCCGCATCTAAGGAGCCGTGGGGATAAGTGGTAACGGTGTCCCCTAGGGAAGGCTTTGGACAAGGATCTCCTCACTCACTCACTCGCTCGCTCGCTCACTCGCTCACTGCCTAGCTTTTTGCAGCCACCAGCGTCTGTCTCCCCCACCTGTTTGCAATCTGTGTGGGCATCTTTTCCAACCTGCAGAACCCTTGGCAGAAGGAGGAGGGCCAGGCTCTCCAGGCCTTGTTTGTCGTGTGGGTCGGTCTGTGTTGCAACGGGCTGTCTCTCTCACCAGTGTTTCTGTTTCCAGCTCTGCTCTGGAAGAGAGGGGTCAGTGCAGGCTCAGGTTGGCCCGCTCTGTATTCATTCAGCCCCAGCTCAGCTTGAGCAATCGGAGCCAGGGCTGAGGGCAAGCAACATTCTTCTCTGCTTTTTTTCTGCTGCAGGATGCAGTTTGCTTTTTTCCATGCGAATGAATTATGCTTGAAACCGAAATGGGAGGAAGAGAAAAATAGAGTGAGTGTGTATGAATATGTGTGTGTGTGCGCGCACACGTGCATACCTATATAGGCAGGGGGAGAGCAGCAGACACATTATTTTTCCATTTTCCTTTAATTAAGGCTCTGTGGAGGTGTGTTTGAAAACAGAGGGTCTCCTATGCCTTTGAGGAGGGTGAGAACACTGTTTTGGCTGCGTCCCGGGCCATATGCAGCGTATGGTGGCCAATGAAACGGGGCCTGGCTCTCTCTGTTGCTTGTCTTGGCAGTCGGTTCCGTGGCTTGTGTTACCAGCTCTGGAACTTACGGGCTGCCAAGCTCCGTGTGCCTGTGTGTGTATGTGTGTGTGTACTCTGGTGCGTGCGTGTGGTTTGGCCTCTCGGAGCTCAGCGGAGACAAATGCTGTAGCGACCCAGGTTGGAATTTCAGCCTGTGTTTCTTTACGCTCGCTGCTGGCTGTGGGAGGCCCGGCCAGAGCCCACTGCTCTGGAGCTTTTTTTAAGCCTGTTTTCTTGCGGCAGCCCTTGGGATTCCGGTTGAGGAGCTTCGTTTCCAAAGCTTCCGCAGGGCCGGTGGCCTTTTTAAAAAAGGGCCAACGGACTTATCGCACACTCTGCGTGTATGACTGTGCAGTGTTATCATGCTGTGAGCTCCTGCTGCCAAGGAACCGAGATGGGGTGAAGAGGGAAGAGAGGATAGAGGCTTGCCAGGTGGCAGTTCTTTCCCAGCTTCCTCTTGCAGCTTGGGATAAGGATTCCTGGCGGAAGTAACTTCCTGTGTGTGTGTTGAACACCTACACCGGGCAGGGGAAACAGTGCCCACAGACAGCGCCTTATGGGAAGCATTTCTCTGGTCTCCTGGGAAGAACCTTTCCTGGGGAGAGGTTCCCGTTTCTCCCATAGCTGGGATGCCTTCACAGGGGTCATGCATGCCCTGGCAGCGGCTTCTGACCGCTCTCCCCCATCTTTTTCTTCTTAGGCAGATCTTAGGGGCAATCCCCTCTAAGCGGGACAGGATAGAGTAGGCAGAAGGACACAGAAGATGCTAGCCCTCTGCTTCTGGAGGCAGGGGTGGAGACCCAGCCAGCTGGTGGTGCCAGCCAGCCATGCAGCTGTGTTCTGGGATGGAGGATGGAGGAGACCTTGGAGAAACTGGGGCAAAGGTCAAGTGCTGGGCCTGGTTTCTGCACCTTTGTCTACACAGCTGTGACCTGCCCCCTTGGTTTCTACTCTGCAGTAACCGACTGGATACAGGATGGTCCTGGCCCCTTGGGGTTTAGAGCTGGAAAGTGGGGGAGCTGAGCATCCTCTGGGGGAGTCCTCTTCATGGCTGTAGGAAAAGGAGGCCAGTGTTAGGTGGGAACCCTACAGTGACCTTGCAGGGTCGTCCAGCACTTGTGTCCTTCAGGAAGGAAGGCTCTGTGGCTCCACTGACTTCATACTGGGGCAGTCACTGTTCCAGGTGCTTTCCAAGTTTTCACCACTGGAATCCTTACAGGGCACCTACCACTATTATTCCCACTTTACAGCTGAGGAAAGTGAGTCCCAGAGAGGTTAGGGAATTTGCCCAAGTCACACAGCGAGTAAGGGGCAGAGCTAGTTTGCACATGTAGCTGACTGACTCCAAAGCTCCCCCCCATCACCCGCCTCCCTCTCCTGCCTGAAGAGCTGGGACAGTCCCCTGGGGAGGGCCTTTTCCAGCTTGTCCTTGTTCTCAAGGGCTTTCTCCACCCATTTGCTCCTGGCCTTCTGGATCTCCAGGCGAGAGATCATCTCAGATAATTCCTTATCTTCAAGAACAAGTTTACTGTTTAATTCTCCAAGATTCATGATAGTTATTACTTTGTTCTGTGATCACTGGCCTGGCACACCTTTCTCCGCCCCCCCCCCGCCCCCCCTCCCACCAATTCACACTGTCCTCCTGGGAATTTTCTCAGACTCCAGCTCCTAAGACTGTCTACCTGCTATTGGTGATTCCCAGGTACTGGTTATTGGCGCTCTCTCTCTTAATATATATATATATATATATATATATATATATATATATATATATACACACACACACACACATACTAGAGGTCCAGTGCATGAAATTTGTGCACTCAGTGGGGAGGAGGTCCCTCAGCCTAGTCTGCGCCCTCTCACAGTCCAGGAGCCCTCAGGTCTGCTCCCCATTAGTCAGACATCCTTAGTGCTGTAGAGGAGGCGGGAGAGGCTCCCGCCACTGCCACTGCACTCACCAGCCATGAGACGGGCTTCTGGCTGAGCGGAACTCCCTCTGTGGGAGTGCACTAACCACCAGAGGGCAGCTCCTGCATTGATGTCTACCCCCTAATGGTCAGTCCACATCACAGCAACCAGTCTTTCTGCCATTCGGTTGATTTGCATATTAGCCTTTTATTATATAGGAGTTTTTATTTTTTAGAGGAGGAGAGATAGGAACATTGATGAGAAATATCATCGACACTGAGAAACATCATTGCCTCCTGCATACCTCCTACTTGGGGTGGAGCCCACTAATGGGCATGTGCCCTGACCTGGAATCAAATTGATGACCTCCTGTTTCATAGGTCGACGCTCAAATCACTAAGCCACACCAGCCGGGCTTCCAACTCCACTAGTGCTCCTGGGGCCTGATCCTGTGAC